CTCTCTCTCTCTCTCTCTCTCTCTCTCTCTCTCTCTCTCTCTCTCTCTCTCTCTCTCTCTCTCTCTCTCTCTCTCTCTCTATCGCGCGCGCGCGCGCTCTATATATCCATTGGCTAAAAACCAAAGACGAAATGCATCCGCTAGGGTGGGCGCCAAGAAGCGAAAAGGAGAGAGGGAGGACAGAGTGCTAAGGAAGGAAACAGGGAGCGAGGGCCGATGGGGAAGGGCCAAGGGAGGAAGGAGGGAGGGTGAAGTGAGGGCAACGGGAAGGAAGAATGGAGGGAGAAGTGAGGGCCGAGGGAGGAGGAATGGACAAGGAAGGAGTGAGTGACAGAGGAGAGAGGGGCGAGGGCCAAGAGAGGAGGCAGGGAGGAGGTCAGGCGGGGGTCGAGAGGAGAAAGGCAGTGGAGGGAGGAGGGAGGGATGATAGGGCGGAGAGAAGGAGATCAGGCGGAGATCGGGCGGACGGAAGAAGGAGCGAGGTCATGTGGAGGGAGGTAAGAGAAATGGAGACTCACTTTAGTAAGCCATGTCGGCAAAGCCTCCAGCCGACGACGATCAACCGACAATGCGCAAGCCTTCGACCATGATTTAGCCGAACCGTCCAAGTTCCACAAAAGTAGACAATGCCTCAAGTACACGTTGCAGTATTCGACGTTGAAGTTCATGTAACATGTAAGACATTTCACGTAGCACCAACCTTACGAAGCACGTAGCACCAAGTTCACGAATCAGGTAACCCCAAGCTCACGAATCAGGCTAGCACTTCGCACGTGCACTATAGCACACATTTATGAAACACGACGTTCATGAAAGCACGTAGCGCAGAGAAGAGAGAGAGAGAGGGCCGGGGGACAAGGGAGCCCTAAGTCACGATGCCAGCACCTATGCACGAAGCATGTAGGACATCACACGTCGCACGGTAGGTCGCCTAAGTGAAGCAGTATGGCAAGTCGCGTAGGCGAGATCAGGTGTGTGTGTGTGTGTGTGTGTGAGTGTGTGTGTGTGTGTGTGTGCGTTTGTGTGTGTGTGGGTGGGTGGGTGTGTGGGTGTGTGTGTGAGAGAGAGAGAGAGAGAGAGAGCGGAGGGCAGCGCTTCAGTAGCGCTACTGAGGATGGTCAGTCGCATAACGCAGGTAGGTCAGGCGTGTCAGGGAGGTCGTCGTCCGCGGTAGCTAGGTCGCGCAGGTCGCGCAGGCGAGATCGGGTGTTGTTTTAAAAGACCCCGGATCCTCACAAATCATCACAAGCCATCCATAACGAAAATGTATAGATTCGTCCCTCGGGGGCGGCGGCGTTTCAGCCCTAGCACCGGTGCGTTAGCACTCGGTCCTAACGCCGCTTGCCGGTTCGGCAGGCCTGACCAACGATGTCGGTCCCATGGAGGAACTATCGTCGTAGGTGACACCTCACAACCTTCGGTTTGTGGAAGACCTATGGCTCGGCCATAGCCGATGGTGTCAGTG